GCTCATGAAAACAACAATGAATAGCTCAAAATTTGAAAGTGATATTCATAATATAAATCTTTTTAAAGTTGATATATGTGAATAAAAATATTTTAGTAAAAATGAATTTTTTAAAAAGATATTTGTGATTTATGTAAATGTGCTTATATAATCATATATTTAAAAATGTAATGCACATATATATATATATATATATAATTTGAATCGAGTTTTTTAAAATTCTTTCTTTAAAGATAATAATCATCATCATCATACTTATATTTATTAAATAAAATTCAATTTGCAAATATAAAAAGAAATCTTGTAATTTTTCAAGAAAGAAGAAATGAATAATAATTATATTGTATAACAATTTCTCAAATTTTTACAATAAAATATTGAATTTGTTCAGAGAATTGATCTTAGAGCAATATTAATTTGGAAAACATTTTATTTCTGATGTTGCAGATGTACTAATTATATTTCATTAATTTCAAATGTTTATAGAAACCAATTAAAATTTCTTATTTTATTTCATTATTTCATTTTAAAATTTCTTATTTTATTTTATTTCATTTTGAACATTTTATTTCATTTTTCAATTTCAATAATATATGATCAAATTTTGAGAAGACATTTTAAACTGTTATTAAGCTGAAACATTTCTCAAAAAGTCCTTATAAATGTAAATAGATTATAAATTTGTAAAGTAAACCTAATTTTATTTTTTAAACATCAATGCAAATAAATATTTCAAGAATTGAATATTGCATTTTGAAGAACTGTTGCTGTCCTAACATTTTATACTTAGATGTAGAGAAATGTTTTATATACAATTATATCATTATAACAGCCTTTAGATAAATGCAATATCACAACATATTGAGACATATAATGACCACAATGTTATGTTGTTGCTTGTACAACTGGAGTAGTTCCCCAAAGTATTAAGCTGCAGATATATTTGATTTTCTTAATTTAAACAGATTCTAATTGTAAAATTTAATTATTTCAGATTCTAGAGTATATGAATTATTTATGCCTAAAATAATTAAAAATTATTTTAAGTTTAAAATACTTAGAAGGATTTAAAGAAACTGGAAAAGTAGATTATTGTAAATTTAAGTATTTACTAATTCATAAAGATTCTCACTTGCAGTAACACATCAATCATTTTGAAATTTTCAAAGATTTTCCCAAAAAGTTGATTTTGTTTCATTCATTGAAGAAGTTGATATTCATTGAGAAATGAATATGGTCAGATTTGTTGTAAGATGAATCAATAAGAATAAATCATTGTATACGATGATATTTGTCTTCAGAAACATGATTTAATATTTTAAGATCAATAATAAAAATTTGCTTTTTCTTATACAGTACATTAAATTTGACAAATTATGATAAGAAAAATTTCTTCAATAAGCATAAATTTTAAAATGTATGTCATTAAAGTAATTATTTCAGTATTTATGAACAATAAATATTAAATATTAGTATATCAAAAATATTCTGATTTGTCGAGGGTTGTACATGGAATAGAAACTTTATAATTCTGTTTAAATTCTTAAAATTAGCAAAGATTTTCTATTCTTAATGTTATATATAATTAATGCTCAAATTGCTTCATTGAAAATGACTTTTCAAAGCAACAGCATGATGTAACTTAGTGATATAAATTTATTTTAAAATTTTATAATCAAGATTGCCTTTTTTTATAACAACAATGAAACCCACTTTTTTTAGAATCACAGCATTTATAGGCTATTATTTTGTTGAGTTTAAATTTTTATAAAGATTTGATAATTTTAATTTATTAAATTAATCATTGACAAATTAAATTCAATATAATCTTTTTTTTAAAATATTCATATGAAGTTTTGTGCTTTAGTGGGTATTTTAGTACCATTCGTCATCTAAAAAGAAATTTATAACAAAATTTTATTAAAATTATGATATTTATATATATTAATTTAATACATTTTAATTAAAATTCTGAAAATTGCAATAATGTCATAATTGATGAATTTACAACTGAAAATTTTTATTGTTTTGGTTTTTCATTTGAGTGAATACTGATAATTATTAAATTATAGGCAGCTTCTGGCAGAAATTTAAATATATTGGAAGAATTTAATGATTGGAAATATTATCTGAAACTCTGGGTCTGTGTGGACCTCGAGGCTTCCGAGGCTTGTCTCCACGTTCCATCAGAGGAAATAAGGGCTGTTTTAATGCTGGAAGATTATTGGAACTCCTCTCTTTATATGGAATATCATATCTAAATGAGAAAATTATACTTCATCATATTTAATAAGCAAATTATACTTCTCATATATAATTTTAAAAAATATTTCAACAACAACAATTTCAGTAAAAAATAAGGGCTGATGGTATATAGTTTTCTTAACTTATGAACTGCCACTTTCATCAATTACGTTTAACGCACTTATTAAATCACTTTACTTTTATAGTCAATATGTACAATATATAAGTTGAGGCACCAGAATATCCCAGAAACAAAAACATCTGAGAGAAAGATTTAAATGTTGACAGCATGCGACTTTCATTGGGAATACTTGTTTCATTTTTACAGATATTGTAAATAACTTTTTGGACCAATTCTTAGGCAAATTGACATGAGGATAAAAAACAAACCTTTTATGACATTCAAGTAAACAGTTTAGCTGTGCATTTAAAAATGTAAAAGTAAATTTAATTTAAATTTGTTTTTCTTCATAAAGTAAGATATTAAAAACAATTAGGGTCATTTACAAAACCAAGGTGTCCTACAACTAACTTTGAGGTTGTCCACCAAATTCAAAATAAACAAAGTTTCCTTTCCCTTTTATTGATACAATCAAACAACTGATATTTAAAACATTTTTGTCTCTGGGATTTCCAGTGTTGCAACTTAAATGGCCCAATCTGTATATTGCATCATAACTTATTGAAAATGCTAATTTGTATTCTCACTTCTTTATTTAATGCATAATTTTTGAAGAAAAAAGTTTTAAATATAGTTATGTGTGGATAAAGCAAATTAGATTATAGACAGACACCAAAGAATAAACAAACATTTTTTTGTTAATTACTGCCTTTTGTTTTATTTATTAGCATCAAATCAGAGTTTTTTAAGTTTTGTAAGTCTTGCTGCAGTGGATGCTGATTGGAGCAATGAGAGACATGATAAAAAATCTACATATATCATCATGCTTTTTACAAATTTATTAAAATGTATTCAGAATTTTTCAAATAAGATCTGCAGACTAATAATCCCAGCATTAAACTGAGGAAACATGATAAAATTTAAGTGTTGTAAGTTTATAACTAAGAGGAATAAACATTTTCTCTATTTTATAATTTGTAATCTTAATTAAAAATAATTTTACATTTAAGCATAGAGCATCAAAAACTATCAAATTAAAAATTATCTCAAAATTTTTTGATTTTAATGTTTGCAAAGATCCTGGAAAGTATGGTTTATTCACTCAAATAGTTCATTTCAGATAATTTCTAAAATTGACCAGTAAACAAATGGATTAATATTGTAGTTTTGTGGTAAACCAGGTCATGTAAAATTTTGGTAGACATGGACATTTCAATAATAAATTGGATGTAAATAGAAAAAAAAAAACTAACCAATCTAGCTTCACCATTACAGTACGGGATAATTAAACTTTACAACAAAACCCAAGAAACAAACACAAACTTAAAAACAGATAAATTAAACCAATAAATAAAATAAACATAAATTTTATCATTACAACATGAAGCATAATACTGTAATAATAGCCAACACCCCTTCTTGCTGAATAAAGTCATAATCCCAAATTCACAGCATTTGAAAATCATTTCAATTTATCCGTAGGAAGAGGTTTGGCCATCACATCTGGAATCATGAGTTCTGTCAAACATTTCATTTCAATGATTTTCTTCTCACACAGGTCACATAGCAAATGACACTTGATATCAATGTGTTTTGTCCATGCACTTGATCTGTCAGATTTCAGCATTTCAATGCAACCTTGATTGTCTTCAAAAATTGTAGTTGCACTTGACATCAATATCTGCATATCTGATAGGATCTGACATAGCCAAATGATTTCTTGACATGCATATGCAGCCAATATATATTCAGCTTTGGCAACCATAGCTTGCTTCTTACTCAACCATTATATGTTGTTGAAACCCAGCATGATGATGTATGTAGATTTTCTATCATGTCTCTCATTGCTCCAATCAGCATCCACTGCAGCTTTGGTTCATACTGTACCAAAAGATAGTGCTTATAAGTTTTACTGCATTAAGTTGTGGCGACCAATTCCGAACTTCGTCCGATCGCCACCAGAGGGAGTTCGGAGGTTTTAAAACACCGATTCGAACACGTGCCTTCGTCCTTTTGTCGACTCCTCGTCTAGAGTACAGACTCCTATTCAATTGTGCTACTTGAACTCTTTTGTTGGCAACCTCAATCGCCACATTGGTGAGCCGGACGTGATTCAACCTCAATCCAATTTCATCTGGACATTCACGCCATTAATTTCAACGATTTTTGTTCCATCCGCATAATCAGATTCACCGCATATTTTATTTTGTGATATTTTTTGGAGCAACCACATGGCCACAGAACAAAGGTCGAGTAACTTCCCGCACCTACGCTAGGTAAGCGTATCATTTTTTTTTCTCGCTCATCGGAACTCTCTACTCGTACGCCCGGCTATCGAACAATTCGTGCGTTTCACATTTTACCGATTTTTTTTGGGCTCTCATCCTTTGTTCTGGAAATCAGCATGCCGCTCAGCGACCAGCCAGAAACAATGGCCGTCAACGTAACTCGAGTCGCTGTTAAGCCTCCGCCGTTTTGGAAGCCGAATCCGACATTATGGTTCACGCAACTCGAGGCACAATTTGCCATCTCTGGGATATCCACAGACTCCACAAAATTCAACCAAGTGATTTCAGCAATTGAGTCCGAGGTGCTCAACTCAGTCAGCGACTTAATTCTACATCCACCGGCCAGCGAAAAATACGAGGCCCTCAAGAAACGCCTCATTGAGCTACACTCGGAAAGCCAAGAATCAAAGATTCGCACACTCCTGCAAGGCTTGGAGTTAGGAGACCAGCGCCCGTCACAACTGTTAAATTGTATGCGTGCTCTCGCCGGCGAGGCGGTTGGGGAACCACTATTAAAGTCCTTGTGGCTATCAAGATTACCAGCGAACACTCAAAGTATTCTTGCCGCGCTAAGCGAGGACCTACCCCAACTAGCTACGATAGCCGACAAAATCTCGGACCTAACCATCACGCAAAGTGTAAATTCCACTTCGAGTCAACAGTTAACGCACCCATCCTCGTTAGAATTTCAAATTGAGCAGCTTACCAATCAAGTAGCAGAATTAGCAGCCATAGTGCATCGTGAGCGACCACGTGAGATGAATAGTCGTCCAACGTTCCACCCCCGAAAACGTAGCCAGTCCCGAGACCGTTACCGCCGGTACAAAGAACCGATGAACAATCAATGCTTTTACCACACCAACTTCGGAGAGAGAGCCAGGAAATGCACACCTCCCTGCTCTTTTCAGCCGTCGGGAAACTAGCAGAGCGGCCGTCTGGGGCCAACAGTTGCGACCGCTCGATTGACCGAATATTTATGGCCGACCCATCTACAAACTTGAGTTTTTTGGTTGACACTGGCGCAGATGTTTCAGTGATTCCTAAATCTCTCTCACTGCAAGCAAAAACCCCTGGGAAGTTAGTTCTCTTTGCTGCCAATGGCACGAAAATCCCAACTTACGGCACCAAGCTGCTAACGCTGGATTTTAACCTGCGAAGAAGCTTTCCATGGCCTTTCATCATCGCAGACGTCACTCAACCGATTATTGGCATAGACTTCCTAACTCACTTCGACCTATTGGTGGACGCACGAAAAAACCGCCTCATAGATGCAGCCACGCAGCTGAAGTCTAGAGGCACTGAACGTCCCAAACCAACGGCAAATCTCACCATCACCACCATACACGGAGATTCTGACTTCCAGCGAGTGCTGGCCGAATTTCCCTCGATCACGAATCCCTCGTTAATAGCAACGAGAAGCGGCAAGGCTTCCGTTTTTCACCATATTGAGACTACAGGTCCACCAGTGTTTTGCAGACCGAGACGCCTTCCCCCGGACAAGCTCAAAGCAGCTAAGGCAGAGTTCAGTTACATGCTACAGCAAGGCATCTGCCGCCCATCTAAGAGTCCGTGGGCAAGCCCACTTCACTTGGTCGCCAAGCGTAATGGCGACTGGCGTCCCTGCGGAGACTATCGCCGCCTAAATGCCGTTACGGTGCCTGACAGGTATCCAGTCCCACACATCCAGGACTGCACACAAGTGGTAGAGGGATCTACAATCTTCTCTACACTTGACCTCGCCAGAGCCTACCATCAGGTGCCCGTCCATCCAGACGACATTCCGAAAACAGCAGTCACAACACCTTTTGGGCTGTTTGAATTTCCGGTGATGACGTTCGGTCTCCGTAATGCAGCCCAGACCTTCCAGAGATTCATCAATCAAGTTCTCCATGGTCTGGATTACTGCGTACCTTACTTTGACGACGTGCTAGTGGCATCCAAGAGCAAAGAAGAGCACACACGACACCTCCGAGAAGTTTTCCAACGTTTTCTCGAATACGGCGTAACCTTAAATCCTTCTAAGTGCTCACTAGGACAGCAGACTGTGTCTTTCCTCGGCCATAAGATTTCAGCGGAGGGCGTGAGTCCTCTTCCGGAAAGGGTTTCAGCCATCCGAAAATTTCCTGAACCCTCTACCATCCGAGAGCTGCGCCGGTTTCTGGCAATGTTAAACTTCTACAGACGTTTTCTGCCCAAAGCCGCGCACACGCAAGCACCGCTCAACTCCTTTCTGTCCGGAAGCAAGAAAAACGACGATACAAAAATCGTATGGACTCCGGAAGCGCGGCGTGCATTTTCACAATGCAAAGAAGCGCTCGCAAATGCCGCTGTGTTGAATTTCCCATCAGCCGCGAGGCCACTTGCACTGATGGTCGACGCCTCGGACACGGCTATAGGCGCCGTCCTACAACAGAAGTTCCAGGGGTCATGGAAACCGCTCGCTTTCTTCTCCAATAAGCTGTCGGCCGCACAGCGCAACTACAGTACTTACGATCGTGAGTTACTGAGCGCCTACGCGGCCGTAAAACACTTCCGCCACATGTTAGAAGGTCGTGACTTCATCCTGTTTACTGATCACAAGCCGCTAACTTTCGCATTTCGGCA